GGAACTGAGCTACAGCTATTTCTTTGAAATCCACCCTGTAGACTCAGGTGGAATTATGACTCATCAAGTGGAAGAGAAGTTCTGGAAAGGTCTTAACCTCATCCATTGTGGTACCTAACTGGATGAGACACAGAAGGGTTCTCTGGCCTGAGGGCATACTTGAAGCAAACATAGCCAATAAAGCCCTTTAAGTGAGTTCCATCGTTTGAGCAGCATGAGCACTAAGCATGTTAGGGTTATATGGGGGGCTGGTTATCGCCAAGGTAGTGTGGTTTTTGTTGATCAGAGACTCCCTTTGGCTTCCTGTTGCTTTTAGGACAGTGATTCTACCTTTAACCGCCTTGCAATGTGATTTGTAATAAATATGAAGGCCTGGTTCTCATCCCCATGATCCTGTTTGTCTTTCTGGAGTTTCACCTGATAGCAAGCTTTTAAAAATTTTGTAAGTCAAGATTTAGAACAACTACTCAAAGCATGATACTTAAAAAGATTTTTTAAAAGATGACCCTTGCTGCATTGTGAAAGATATTGTAGGGGATGAGAGAGAGCAGTTAGATTCTCAACCTTCAGTTCATATTAGAAGTACCTGGGAGTTTCTGAAACAGAACACTAATGATTGGCCTCTCTGACCCCACTGTAACATAAGTGTCATATTTAATATTTTGAATTCTAAGCTAGGATAGAGAATTACTCATTTGTATTATGAGTTTCAGGTTTTGCCAGACTAGTGAGGAAAGGCTAGGGAGGAAGAGATGCATTGAAAAAGATTTGAGATATAAGTCGACGTCAAAGTCTTAAGGAGAGAATTTAAGACGATGACTGTGTTTCTGATAGTGTGACAGGACCTATAATGGCATGATATTAGCATCACAGTGTATGGCTTGTACCTAATGCCATACTGATAGGAAGTAGCTTTATTTTTCTCCTACCCTTGACATTCTCCACACTGTTGGATCGTTCTTCCTTGTTTTGGGCAAGAGTTCATTTTTAACATGAGGACATGCCTTCTTTTGGTTACTCAGGTTTCCAGCTAAGACTAGTTTAATCCAAATCTTACATCCAAGGGGCTGGGGAGATAGCTTAGTAGAATAAGCACTTGCCTGGCAAGCATAAGGGCCTGAGTTCAATCCCCGGTTCTGCCAAAAAAAAAAAAGGCTTGCATCCAGTTTCAAGCCTCCCTCTGCTCAGCTCAGGCACCTCCCAGCTCAGGGCAGGACCCCTTTCTTGCTTTTGTACCTGACAACTGCTTTTGGTTCCAGTTGCAAGGAAGAGTAGAAGAGGAAGGACAGAGTTGTACTCCATTGCATCTGTGTGGCAGGTGTCGTGTGGACTGTCAGCAGTATGCACGCAGGATAACTTGGGCCTGTCAGGGAGATGGTAGATACACTGGCCTCTGTGCAGTTTCCCAGAGCTCTTGCTGCCTGAAGTCTGCATTGTGCTGGCCCTGTGTTGTGCTGTACTCCAGAAGACATTTGTTTTGGCTGGGTCCTATCTAAATGTCTTTTGCTTCTGTAGCAACTGTGCCAGGGGAACCCAGAGAATCCAGTGCAGATGGGCACCTGCTTGACTGCTGTGCTTTGTCCTTCCTGCCATTATGACACTGCCACCTGTCTTCTTTCTGCAGCATTTCCCAGGCTGGGACAGTGTCTGTGTTCATATCTGCTCTGACTTCTGAGGATATGTGTCAGACACTCCTGAGAACTCACTGCATTGAGTTCTGGTAAGGGTCTGGAGGGTTTTCTTACCTCTCAAAAATCAGGGGTCACCCAGTGATTTGCTTGTCACTTTCCCCTTAGAATTGTTATTGAGTCTGTCCCAGAGGTTTTCTAGAAGCCCTGGGTTTGTTCTCATTGAGGTGTGGAGCCATGTAGTGCTAGTCTTCTCCATGTTTATGAATACTGTTTCTGACTTTGTAGCAGCAGGATGTAAGTGATAGGAGGGCCATCTCAGTAAATCTGGCATGCGTGTTGTGTCCTTTTTAGATTGTGGGGGAGTTTATCATTTGTAGTTCTTAGCTTTAGGATCCCACTTTAGCCAAATTTTGAGATAAGAAAAGATCCTATACTTAGCTCTTGTGCTGACAGATTAACATAGAAGGAATTACTAGCCTTGGCCAAAAACTGTCCAGTTCTTGGCTATGTTTGTCATAGAAGTCTGCACTGGTGATCTGGAGGATGAAGTTACTGGGAAGCAGATACAGATCATGACAAACAGGGTTCCAGAAGGAAGACCAGGGGGCCTCAGGCTGTGTAGAAAGGAAGAGGAACAGAGGGCTGCACAGCAAACAGCAGGTGCTAGCAGGAGAGAAGGCCAAGCTGAAGAGAGTGAGCAATAGGAGAGAGAGTGGGAGAGCTGAGAATGTGGACTCAAGGGTATTTCAAGAAGATGCTGGGTCAGTGTCAAATGTCCTAGACCAATTAAAAGATCAAGAAGCAAGACTTTTTTCTGGAGATCTGCTTGGACCTACTGATAGGAAGAACCCTTAGAGGACCAGTTCTTTCTGCTCACGCTACCCTCTGACTGCCACCACCGCCTTCTACCTGAGGACTTCTGCCTGATTTGTCCTGTGGGTATTGGGTGCCACCAAAGGCACAGGTTCTCTGACCACCTCATATCCTTTGTGATCCCCAGGACAAGTGTCCTTGCTCCCTGTCCCTCTGTGTCCCTATTGTACATCTTTCCTTGTCCCCCTGCA